TCTCCCCCATCCCTGGTGGGGAGTGAGCAAGCGGCTGTGTGGTGTTTAGCTGCCTGCCAGGTTAAACCACAACAGGATGTTAATTATTCTCAGTGTTATTTTATGTCTTGGTTTTAAACTGAAAAAATAATTAAAGTATGCAGGGAATCCTAACACCGTACCGTTGCAAACATACATGCTTTTGGCAGTTTTGGAGTAGGGGAGCAGAATTCTGTGAATCTTCACCTAAGACTTCCTTTTATACCTCTACAAGAGGAAAGAGAACTGCTCCCAATTTTGGTGATTTTGCAGGAAAACGCACACCGTAACGTGATGGTAAGCTAAGGAAAACTTCTGCCAAGTAGTCATATGGTCTGCGGAAAAAGGACCGTAATTGGCACGATTTTTGCAGTTATTCATTAACAATGAACAAGGTAAGAGGTGAAGAGTAATAGCTTTGGATCCTTGTAGGAATAATCTAGGTGTGTTTGAGGAGCTTAGTCAATGTTAATGGTCCTGCTGCATGGGTAAGAGGTACCGCCCCAAACTGTGTCAGACACAGAGAAAGAGAGCGTGGAGAAGTACAAGTGTGTTTTGAGAATATGCCTTGAGGCTGAGTGTGCAAGCATTCCTTGCGGTCTTCAGATCGTTTGTCTGCTAACCTTTTTCACAAAATACCATTGATTCTCCACAACTTGATTTTCCTTTTCTTGATTGCAGGGACGAGCTTTAAGAACAGCCAAATCTCTTGATGAGGGACTTTCTCTTGTGATCCCTCTTGATAGCATCCACAGTGTGTCTCAGCAGAATGAAGGGAGATTGGTGCACTTAGCTGGCGCTCTGAGTACATCTAAGGTAAATAAAAAAGTATCTTGAAGATACGAGTATTTCAAGCTTGGAGGGAAGGAAAAGTCTTTGCCAATTAAAATCATGTTTGATATCCAGGGAGAAGACACGTAGCTTCTCTCCTCCCCTGCAAGCATTGCCAGCTACGACCCAAGCTTTGGTTCTTTGCCTGGAATCGGGGAGATGCTGTACAGCCTTGGTCTCCCTGCTCCCAAGCAACATGCTACGTCTAGCTGTGTTTACCCTCCCACTGCCTTTGGTGGATAATTTCAATTCCCCTTTGCATAGGGAACCTGTTGTTTATTCATGATATTGGAAAGTCTTTAGGCTCTTGCAGTACAGAGGCTCTGCAAGTTCTGACTTTTCAGTAGCGATGACATTTTTTGTGGTCAGCCTGCATTGCAGAAGGTAACACAGCATGGTAACTTCCAGCAAAATAAAATCTCCCCCTGGTTTAAACGCTTAAGCCTGCATACCATTATCCAACATTTCTGCTTTTATTCTTCGCTATGGCAATAATATTTGATGATGATTTTTTAGGTCAGATTTATCAGTGGTATAAAGAGATGCTCCTTTTTGTCTTTCATAACATTTATTCTATATTCAGCTGTGTGTAACATAGTACTAACTATGTTCAGTGAGGTATGCAAATGGGTTTGATAATAGAAGTACAGTGTTTGAGTTTGTGAGGTACAGCATTTATACTGACTTGTATTTTCTTTAATTTTTAAATAGCCTTTGTTTGATCCCAGCTATGGGCTCTCCATCCAGGCTGTCAAACTTAAGCGTAATGTGGAAATGTACCAATGGGTAGAATATGAAGATTCCACGTAAGTGAAGAAATCTTTAAAAGTTGTTTATAAAGCTGTTGTATTAACAGGATCCCATCACATTTTTTTTTCTCCCCCCAAGTCTAAAATAAAAAAACCCAACAAGTCTTTACAGCAGGAGAATTCTAGAACTCTTGGGGTTTTTTAGAGAGTCACTTTAATTTCCTTGGAGATGTCAGGTCTTGTAGATGGTTAATGCTGCAGAATTTGCATCTGATAAAATTTGGCTAACATCCAAGGCCTTTTATCAAATGTTTCCACTTCCTGGTTTTGTATAACTTCATATGGGGTTTCTTGGCCTCCATGCTGCAGCTGTGGTTTTTTGTTTTCATTATTGTTGTCTGATGCTGAGCCACCTCAGAGCCCGTTGATCTATTTTCTGTCATATGTGTTGTCAACAGAATTCAAAGACCTTTACCAATTTATGAAAAAGAGAAAAAAAGAAGAAAACACTTGTGTTTTTCCCAAAGACTCAGTCGATTTCTATCTTTTCTAATGTTCCTAAAGCTTCTTTTATTTATTGATGTACTTTCTGCCCATCAGGATTTCTGTAACTCCACCCCCATAATACTCCCTGCCTGCTAGTTGATTAGCAGAATCAAAACCATTGTCCCAAAATACTTGGTCATTAATTTTTTCAAATAAAACTTTATAATCCTCTTTTTCCCTGCATCTAGTAAGCCTTTCCTGCTGCCATTCCCTAAAACTTGATCATGGACCCTTAAGCCAATTTTTTTTCCCTGTCCTGAAAAAGGAAATACAAAAAGATTTTTGCTGAATCCAGAAACTTCATCATATTTCCCCTTGGCTTTCTTCCTTTCTTCCACAATGACAATGATTTACTTCCTGGGTTTTTTTGGTTGGTCAGTTGTTGTTTTTTTTTTTTAAATCTCCCAAAAGGTCTTAACTTTTGTTAGAAAAGTAAGTGAACCCAACAGTTTCAATTATGAATTCCAGAATAAACTTTGATAAACCCATTGACCCAAAAACTGCCTGGTTGATATCTACAGCCTAACATACACTAGAATATTTCAAAGCAATTAAAAAACCCTATTGTAGACAATTGAATCTAGAAGTCAGATTCTTTTCTCAGACTTGTGGACACTTGAAACTTTTTGGCGTGTTACTATGAGGGAAATTTCTTAGTTTCTTTAGTACCTCATACATGTGCAAATTGAAGTACTTAATTAAACCAAGACATGATTTCTCCATTTTTAGAAGACTCAGCTACCCCTTATCCTTAATAATCAAAAGTCAACATTAATTTCTAGCTGTGAAAGTAAACTGCAAATTTTAGTTGCTTGAGAGACACTCAGATTAATTTATAATAGGCAATATTGCAGTCTGGGTACCTTTTCAGTGGGATTTACAAAACTGTAATGAGATGTTAGCTACTCTGCTAGTAGTTGCAAGCAGAAGGGGAAAAATGTTTCTGTTATTAATAATAATTCCACTGAAAGTAGTATAAAAGTTATTAGCCATTATGTAGGTCTGACTCCACAGAACTCAAGTGCCAAATGTCTTTTGTGTCATACAAAAAGGTTGTGAAGGTGTGAAAAATAACTTCTCAGTTTTAACATGGTTATGGTGCAGCATCTCTAAAAGACTTGTTGGTTTAGGTCAGCTTGTCTCACTGTCTTTAATACTGGTTGTTCCACATCGATCTAGTCAGCTCCTTGTTGGCAACATGGGAATAAAAGGCTTGTGGCTGTTTAGCGTTTGTGTGTAGTTTTCTCCTTGTACAGAGAATCTGTGTCTTCAGATTAGGTAGTTCAGAGAAGAGTTAGTTTACTTGTAAAGATAAGTTTGTGTTACCAGTGAGCTGTCTGTGCATTTCATTTGTAAAGTGTATTCTGCCCGGAGCAAGGGTGTGTGTGCACTGTTTTGGTTCTCATCCCACCCTTTTTCTCTGCAGGGAATATGAAGAGAATGGTGAGATTAAGAAAGAGACAAAGTATTCATACAGTAAGTTGATCAACAGAAAATCCTTTTTCTTTTATGCATGTAACTTTGGACTTTTATGCGTGTGTATTTTGATTTTTGTTGTAAACACTGTATTTTCTTGTTGGGAAAGAAAGGAAAGGAATGTGAAGAAATAAGCAAAAATTCTGTTTCCTAAACAAATGGTAGGACCTCCCTTTCTTGAGGTAACTGAGGTGAAAGGAGGTATGCTGTTACCAAGAAACTAGTACAGAAAGTCTTGGAACTCCTAGAGGTTCAGAGCAGCATCCAGGGATAGGATGCTCCAGAGATAGGACCCATAAGGACCTCAGTGACAGGAGATGGGCAGAGATGGGAGTGTGTTCAAAGCTATGCCTGAGATTACTCTTCAGAAGTGGAGTAATGAGGCATATGTCAGGCATGAGCAGAAGAGAATAGACAGGGAAGAACAGTGTAGCTCCAACCTGTAAGACAGCCTGTTGAGAGTCTGTTTAGGTGTTGATACCAGCTAATGAAAACCATCAGCACCTTCTGATGTGCGCTGTGGCTTTTGCCAAATGTTTTTTTGGTAGGAGCAGAACTGAGAGCATTATTCTGATCTACCCAGTGGCAGAAAAATACTCTGAGTCATCGTGTTTCTGGAGGTTGGTCTCTGTGCTTCGTTTATCTCTGATTAAAGCACGCGGTTGTGTAACATGGGTGTGCAGCAGTTTCTAGGTGTGCTCATAAAAATACCCCAGCTCAGTGAAGCATGGGATCTTGCAGCATGGAGATACATAAGGAGCAAAGCTAGTGGTGATGAGCTGTGAAAAACAGCCTTACAGTGGCAGGGAACAAAAAGAAATGCCATTTAAAAAAACAGCTGCCCTCTCAAGATTGGTGGATTCTGTCCATTAAAATTCCATATATTACTAGATGAGGTGGGTTAGCTTTGGCTGGCAGCCAAGGGCCCACGTAGCCGCTTACTTACTCTCCCTCTCAGCAGGACTGGGTAAGAGATTGGGAAGAACAGGAATGAGAGAGCTTGTGGGTTGAAATAAAGATAGGGAGATCACTTACCAATTTTACCATCATGGGCAAAACAGACTTGACTTGAGGAAAATTAACTTATTTATTGTCAATTAAAATAAATCTTTAATTACTGATTCAGGTGTTGGGTAAACACATTTGCTCTCACCCTTTCCCAGGCTCAACTTCACTTCAGACTCCTCTCCCCTTGCCCCCCGACCCGTTGTTATTGCCACAGGTTACACTCACTCCCTTCACTGAAGGAACAAGCAGTGCAGGGGGTGCGGGTAGGTTTACAGTCAGTACATAGTGGTTTCTCTCTGCCACTCTTCCCTTCTTACACTTTTCCCATGCTCCAGCGTGGACTCTCCCCATGCTGCAGTGAATATCTGCTCTGCTGTGGAGCACCTCCTCCTCTGACTTTGGTGTTCCCTCTGTTTCTCCTTTTTGTGTCCTCACTTCCCCATTTGGTGTTTTCTGCCCTTTCTTAAAAATGTTTTCACAGAAGTGCCCTGAACTTTACTGAGGGGCTCAGCTGTGGCCTGCAGTGGGTTCGATATGGAGCCAGCTGTGTCCAACACAGGGCAGCCCCTGACCTCTTCCCACAGAGGCTACCCCTGCACCCTCTCCCCAACTACCAAAATCTTGCCACGTACCCAATGCACCAGAATATCCCTTACAATGATCCCTATGCCACTGTTTAACCGAATTTCCTTTCCTTCTTCTCTACTCCTTCATGGAAGTAGAGCAAGCTATATTTAATATGGAAGCTGCTCAAAAAAGGGACTCTAGTTTTGTAGGAGTTATAAGAAACCTACTGGAATCTGTTCTGGGGATGTGGGAAGGCTGCTGTGGCCTGAAGGAAGGCAGCATTATGCATTTTTGACAGTGGCACATACAGGTACCATCTCTGTCTGTTGCTTGACTGCACTGAAATTTGCTAGTTCCAGCAGAGCTCACAGCCTTTCCTCACAAAACCAGATTATTCCCAAAGAGTGGAACGAGGAATCGAACCCAACAGCAAAGCTCCCATTGAATGAAGTTGAGTTACGATTTTATCGCTAAAATCCTTTTTTTCTAAATCCTGCCATTCCTCGTTAATATGCTAGGAAGATGGATTTAAGTATCAGTACAGACTATCACGTACATACTTTGATGTAAACGTTATTACTGCAAGTGTAACTTAGAACTCATTCATTGGTTGAAAGGTGTCTTCAATAACTAAGATCTGATGGCAATTTTTCCTGTTTTCTCCTCAACCTTCATATCATTTTCTTTAGATACCGAATGGAAATCAGAAGTTGTGAACAGCAGAAACTTTGATCGAGAAATTGGACACAAAAACCCTAGGTAATTTACCACCTAGCACAGTCCCTCTAGATTCTGTCACTGTATCTGACCAAAGATGAAAGCTAAATGACTAATCTTCATGACACAGTGAAGTGGATGGAAACTGTTGATCTTTTGGTAGTTGGGAGAACTAAGGCATAGAGAGATAAGAGAGCAGTTCAAAGCTCCCTGGTGGAACCAGAATTAAGCTATCCATTACTAATGGCTGGACATCAGGCTATTATTATATACCTCTGGACCATGTGGTCTCCATGTAGGAGAACTTGAATGGGTTCCTTTCTGACTTTTATTGTCTGTTAGTGCAGTCTATTATTAATTCTTTCCTCTATTACAAGTACAGGGTTAGGATAGCAGGCATCGCATGAGCTTGTCACGCCACTTTCATCTGCTTTTTCTAAGCTAGCACGCGTGAGCTCACAGGCTTATTTATGGCAATCGCCCATATATAATTTGTTTCATGTATCTCTCATTTGCAGCATTGTAGTTACGCTACAATGTGCCATTTTTAATGCTAAGTTTTAGCTTGCTTGTCATTCTCACAGCACCTGCTTCGTTCCTTAGGATGCAGGATGCCATCTGGTAAAAAACATCATGTGTGAGTGAAAAATACAGCTGGAGAGATAGTAGGACCAGGATTTCAACAAAACTTGAACTTCGCAAAATCTCCTGAACTTTGTTTTGGTTCTGTGGGCTCATCCAAATACACTGTCCTTTATTTGGAAGTACTACTTCAGGAGGGAAAGCGTAGATCTGTGTGGTTTTGATTATAAGTCCCAACTAGCAGACTTGTATAGATGAGAGATAATGGAAAAAAGGATGCACAGATGACATACCTGCTTTAGCTCTCCTCCCCTTGCACACTTTTTTTGTTAATGAAAATTCTCCAAGCATTCTCCAGTAAATGCAAATTTCCAGTTGAGAGTAAGAAACATTTTTGATTTAGTGCTATTGCAGTACGTAATTTTAAAAAGTGCTGCAGCTAAGAACATTTCATCTGAGTGCATTGGTGCAAACCAAGGAGACTGAGCATAACTGTGGTGGATCTTTGCGTGAGACAGCACAGTGTATGCAGACGTGCTGAATTTTAGAATACATGCCTGGCATTAATGAGAGTCTATTTTAGGTGTGTACTACATGTCTTCTTCCTTCCGTCCAGCCATCTTATCTTTTTATGCAACTTAGACATTTGTGAAAATAAAATCTGTTGTTTACTGCCAAGGAGATTCTAGTAGCACTACTTATGAGAATGAAGGCAAGTCTGTAAGTAAAGGAGTTTGGAATTTAATTAACTTGGCCATGATGTACTTTTATATGGAGAAGGTTCATGATCTAGGTTTCTTAATTTAGCAGGTAAGATCTAGCAGTTGACAGTGGAAGCTAAATAAATTCAGGCTAGAATGAGTGTAGTTAAATATTGCAGGAATTCATCTAGGAATGTGATTAATTCATTGTCACTCAAAACCTCTATATCACCACTGAATAGCTTCCTAAAAGCTGAACTCCATTTCAGCCCATTATAGGTTCAGTACAGAAAAAAACAGTGAAATCCTATAGTGTGAATGGAAGGTCAGGCCAGAGGATGAAACAGTTCTGTCTTGTCTTAACTTACTTTAATGGCTCCAACACTATGAAGCCTGGACACAGTTTCCTGATGGATTTGTTTTCACATCATCACAGCCATTTAGCTCTTTGAGTTTCTCCTGATGTTTGCCATACTACCTTTTATGTGCTGTATATTACATACTGCAAATCAAGAGTTTGATCATAATTCTGGGACTAATCAGGGACTCTCTCTGTTCCACAGTGCCATGGCTGTGGAGTCTTTCACTGCTGTTTCTCCTAACGTCCAGATTGGCAGCTTTGTTCTTTCCAAGGGTAAGGATTGCTTTGTGCTGGCTTTGTGTCTGCTGTTGCATCAGCAGCAGACTTTGGTTCTTTCCACAATGGCAGTAATTTCAAGTGATAATCAGGAAGCCAGCTAGCAAATTGGCTGTTCCAAGTGAGACACTGGACCTGAGCTTGTTTCTTTATTCTGCTTAGGTCTTGTGGATAAAATTGATGACTTCAAGCAGTTGAGCTTGTCAAACCTTGAGGATCCACATGCTGATGTTACCCGAGGAGGAGATTACTTTTACCACAGCGAGAACCCCAGGCGTCCAGAAGTAAGATGAGAAAGATAAACCAAAGCAGTGGTATTATGTGAAAAAGAAAGTTGGGGCATGTCCCATTTCTATTTAAATATGTAGAAATCGGAGTGCAGACCATTACATAGGGTGACACCATTAGTACAGTCCTTCAGCATGAGTGCTTCTCTTGCAGGAAGCTTCTGATCCTGCTTCTTTGTCTTCTGTTTTCTAGAGTCTGCCATGCTTTTAAATGGAAAGGCACGGGATGGTGCTGGGAGGTGGGTTCTACCTCTGCCTTGCTGTACTGAACGGAGTACAATGAAATAGCTTGTTGTCAGCTTGTGCTGCCTGCCCTCCTCTGCCAAAAGATGAAATGACAAGGGATGAATATAGGATCTCATTGGTGTTAATGTGCTCCTGCAGCTACATCAGAGGGGGTATTGCAAAACAGCATTTGAGCTGTCCTGTTTTGGCTATCAACTAGGCCTGAAAAAAGTACAGCTTGGAAATCATTCTGGGTATCCTCTGGCTTGACATAAATGTTCAGAAAAAGTGTTGATACATAAAGGGTGTTCCCATGCAGAGTTGTCTTTCCTGTGATTCTCCTTTGTAAAGAAATCTTTCTTGACTTCCAATATTCTCTTGTTTGTAGGTAGGAGACCTTCGTGTCTCATTCTTCTATGCAGGTCTGAGTGGAGATGACCCCCATTTGGGCTCTGCTGATAAGGTGAGTCTTCAGCTGTTTCTGTGTTCTGCAAACTCTGTTCCCAACTCAGTAACCAGTAAATATTTTCCCCTTTCTTCCAAGGTGACTGTGATTGCTCGCCAGCGAGGTGATCAACTGGTTCCGTATCATGCCAAGTCTGGAGATGTCCTGCAGATTCTGTACCCTGGGGATCTCTCCGTGGAGGTGAGATACCACACCATACTAGTGAAGGGTTAAAATTGGAGATAGTAGTGCAGAAGCAGCAGGGGAGCAAGCTCTCATTCTCCATCAGACCTGCTCTAGAGAAGGAGATGCTCAATGTAAACATTGGCTTTTCTCTCTCCTTTTTCTAGGACAACGCGTTATAGCCTGTTTTTCCCTTCCAGGTTTCTGCACGTTCTTTGTGTTGCAGCAAAATGCCGTGCTTCGCCCACTAGCAGTACATAATTTGGCTATAGTTATTCCTGATGGTTTTTTAATTTTAAAAAGGAACTGTGGCTAAAGTAGCTATATATTTATTTTTTTAAAATCCCCTTGTGTTGCTGCTGAACATCCTTTGCTTTAAAGGCTGTTTCTGTGCCTTCTCATTTTGCTTTTATTTGCTCTTTGGTAGTTTCCCACTTACACATGCAAGCATGTGCTTTTGAAAAGGTCGTATGTAAAAATAGTAAAAATCAGGCTTTAATTAAACAAACCGTAGGAGCTATCCTCTTTTCAGCTTCTAATAACAGGAGTTTAGGCTTGTTTGAAATGTTTATTGCTATTCTGGCTGAGAAAGAACCTTCAGGCAGAGCATTATGCTCCAATAAATCCTGCATGCTCCAGCAATTTGGTGATTCATTTACTCCTTTTGGTAGGTTTGTTTCCATTAATGATTGTTTCATGCCCTGCTGCAAAAATCCCAGATGTCAAGAATTTACAGGAGATCCCAAAAGCAGTTAAAAAGGCTTTTGTTTTGAGTTGAAAGAGAGTAGCAGTAGAATCAGCTCTCTGCTGTGAGCTCTGAATCTTCATTAGACAGAATTTTAGTTCATTGGAAATTAACCCACTACAAATTAGTAATTCGTAGAGTACTTATATGTACAAGCAGTCAATCAGTCATACAGGTCTTTTCTCATTAAGTGCTTTATTATGTCTTAGCCATCTTCATGTGTACGTTTTATAGAGCCAGAGGGGCACGCAACCCATTTTGAAAAAAATCTTACTCAGAATTCTTGCAAATAGATGCTTTGTTTTGCCTGATGCAATATACACATACCTTTTATCTTTTCTTCCCTGCATGCTGCTTACTTTCTTTCAAATATCTTTCTTTCAGCCATCAGTGGATATTGTTGCCTTTTCTCTGTTCCTGCAAACATAATGAAGTCAGATCATTCCTCCGTATTACATTTACTTATTAGTGTCTTATTTTCTGCAGTAATGTTGAATGTATCCATTTGCAGTAAAAACTGTGTGCTTTCTGCCTGTGGTTATAGTGTGTTGAACAGTGCTTGTTTAGCTGTATTAATTTAGAAAAATGCTGGTTTCCCTTGTGCTGCACTTCAAAATCTATTGTAGTGTGTGCAAAAAGACACTGCAGAATGAGCTGCAATATATCTTCTATGAGAGAATTTGTACTCCTAAAATGCTATTGGCTCTGATTTGCTCATAATATACTGGAATCAAGAGGATCTGAAAGGAAATTGAGAAACAGGCTGCATATAATGGTGTTTGCTTTCAGGAGGTGTTTCAGAAAGAGCATGAGAGTAACACCATGAAGACCTGGGCCCTCCGTGCAGCAGGCTGGCTGGCGATGTTTGTAGGCATCAGCCTAATGACCCGAATCTTTTACACTTTGGGTAAGTTTTTTACAGAAAGGTAAAATGATTTAGAAAGAGGTTCGTAAGCCCTGGAGAGGTCCTCTCTTGCTCACATACGCAATTAATTAATTTGGAGATCAGGAGGAATCTGGTTTGAACTCAGATTGGATTTGATCTGAAAGTCACTGTAGCCAATTGCAGGTAAACAGGATCCCAGAACCAGGTGGTTGCTTTGTGAACAGTAAAAAAAACACCATGCAAATATCTGTTGCCAACCTCAGAAGATCCCAGCCCAGTGCTTACCAAAGTCAGAAGCCAAAGCACACATTGGGCTGGTTCTTTCAAGTCTAAGTCAAGGTGCTGCAATCCTGTTACTTTCTCCACCCATACACAGGTGGTCCCCCCAACAGGTCTTAATTAGTAGTTGTATAGTAACATGTCTTTGTGTCTGGTTATTGTACACTACTGTGAACACACAGCAAAAAAGGTTTTCGTTTATCCTTTTAGCATAGAAAAATGTTGGAATAAAAAGTTAGAGAAAAGCAGGACGGTGCCTCCAACTTGTATAAACTTCAAACATCAAAGCTATCATTTGCTTTGTAGTGGTGCACTCTCTTTTTTTTTTTTCTTATTTACTTATCCATATACATGCTACTGCAAGATTTACTGTTGCCAGAAATTAATTTTTGTGCTAGCATATTGTATCAGTTGCCTCAGACTTGTTCCATAGCTGCAAGGCTATCAGTCTACTCTGCCTGTCAAGCCTTGGACAGGACTTCTGGCTTAATTTTGGATTACTTCCCATCTGAAGAGATGAGGATACCATTGTCTTAGATGTTTAGCTGTTGCTTAATTAACAAATGCCTTGAGGATACTCTGCTGAAATGCCTTATCCAGTGCTCTTGATAAATGATTTGAGTCTGTCTTTTGATTGCGATAGTTAGTGTGCAAATCCTAGGCATGAATAAGACTTCCTTTTAAACTATTATCTTGTCAACTGCTTTATCCCTTGTTTAATTCTTTCTGCAGTGGACTGGTTTCCTGTTGTGAGAGATCTGGTTAACATTGGATTAAAAGCATTTGCCTTCTGCGTAGCCAGTTCGCTATCGCTCCTGACCATCTCCATTGGCTGGCTCTTCTACCGCCCTCTCTGGGCTTTGCTGATCGGGTTGCTCTCCGTAGTTCCAATTGTGTTTGCGAAATCTCGTGTTCCACCAAAGAAGCAGCAGTGAGAAGGACGTGGTCGGGTTTTGCGCTGAATCCTGGTTAGAAACTTTTCAAGTGCATTTCTGTCCCGGTTACTGCAGCATGCTTACAGCATATCTGCACCAAGAGCTGGGGAGCGGGCTTCAGTGTGGTTTTTCATACACGTTATCCATGAAAAATATGAGTATAGGATGCTGTGTGTAGGAAGCCAATGACATTGACTTTGGGGAAAAAAGCAATTTGGAGTGTCTGTATTGATTATAAGTCAGTTGAACAAGCAGATTTGTACCTCTTACCACTTACTAATTCCCCAATTTGAGAACTGGCAAGTCCTCACTGACAGGTGGGGCACCTTGTGTATTATGGAGGAAGTGCCATCTTGATCACATGGACTGTGATTAGATATCCTTAGGAAACACGTGTGGGGACCTGCCTCTGCCAAACCCTCCTCTGCTGCCTTTTCTTATATGCACAGTCATGTACACTTCTTTGGCTGATGCATTTGGAAGTGTATGTGTTCAAAGGGAAAACACAACTTAGTCAAATTTCACACAATACTTACGTAAAATGTACGCTTTTGGACTGAGGATTTGCAAAGAAACTTGAAATAATGAGTGGCCAGGTTAGCAGTGCTCTGAGGTAGGGGCGGATTTGTAAGAAAACATTGATTTCCCCCAGCTTTTAAAAAGTCTCTGAAGTTGTTTTTGGTTAAGCATCCAAAATGGTAGTGTGGACTATACCATTGCATAACTATTTCAAAAATTTAACTTTGAATTGCACTTATTTAAGGGGATACTCAGAGGTCACCAACCTTTAAAAATAAAACCTGCTGCCTTGAAACAAAATTAACTTTTATAATTGAATGTATATTCTTTAAAATATTTGGGGGTTTTTTGCTGTGTATACTGTTTCTTTCTTGAATTTCACTTAGTAAGGACAATGAACATACTCCATGGAATTAAATAATGAAAGCATTTTTGCCTGATTAGATTTCATAGACTTTAGTAGCCTAAATTTTGAGCTTTATATCATGTTAGAGGAATGCCTTCCTGTAGTGTTGTGATGGCTCATGTTTACGTATTTCTGCTGTAACCAGTACTTGAGATTAGACACTATCTCATACTGTTTTTAAGTCTCTCTCCTCCTAGCTAGAGTCTCGCTTCCAGGTGTGCCCTCCCTACACTACAGTGTTTTTTTTTTTCTGTCAGGACACACAATTCAGTAAAAAAATAATGTCTTCATTTATGATATACAGTTACTACCGTCAGGAGCAATGTGCTCCCCGTACCAAAGGAACTTAACTTGAACATACACAGAACCAAATGTTTACTACAAATGGCACTGAAATAGAGATCTGAGTTATAAATCATAAATGTTCTGAGAAGTAGTAATTACTTTATTAGCCTTAATTCTTTTCATTCTTCTGGTATTTGAATGTTGTCAATTCAGTCTCATGGCTCGGTTCCTCTGGTAAAAGCAGTAGTAGTGAGGGAAAGGTTATAGAAGTGCAGGTGGTCTCACGCATGCAGCTGACACGCCTTAGCGATACTGCGCAGTCTTTCTGCTGCTTGCTAACACCAACTTTTGCTCCATCAATTAAGAATTGCAGTCCCCTAGGGAGAAAAACAAGTGTTGGACTGCTGTTTTACCAATGATGCAGGAAACTAACTCGCATTACCATATTAGAGATTAAGATACCATTTTCTACAGAAGTGCTGAGCTTTTGTATATTTAATAAAATACAATTTTCAAAAGGTTGGTCTGTAGGCTTCTTTTTTATTACATTTAAGTATTGCATGTTTCATGTCCAGGACTAGTGTCCAGATACATGGAGGATTAGTTTGTAGTTCCACATGAGCTAGTTTTCTGTTGTTGGTTGAGATAAATGTGCAGTTGGATTTTGTTTAGCCTGCAAATATTTCCCCATTTTGGGAAGCAAGTCCCTAATAACAGCACAGCTGCTGTCTGGTCTATATACTTCTTCGTGATGAAAGGCTGATTCCGGCCTACCATGGTTTTACTCCCTATTACTGACTACTTAAGTAATAGCAACTTCCTCGCCTCCGTAAGATCATTTGAAAAATATGATGGTTCAACCTGACTGGACACAGCCTCTTGCGTTTTTAAAGAGAGTGGGGGTTTACCTATGCCTTCAGCAGCTTAAAATACTTTAGTCTCACATACTAGTGTGTGCACAGGAATGACGCAAAATAAAGTAAGATTCCTTTCACAGACAAGAACTTCATGTTTCCCAGGCCAGGCGTGCTGGTGGAGCCAAGGTTCGCTTTCATTGCACGTACACAAACAACGTTTCTATGGAAACAACTGAAGCAGTATTTCTCTTGCTTCCCTACCAAAATCTGACAGAACATGTACCTGATCTGTCAATCATCTTCCCTTTCTGCTTTGATCTCCCTTAAAGCATATTTACTCTTTCTTCTTTTGCATGCTTAGGTTAGGAGAGCTGGCTGCCTACGTAGCCGAGAAGTAGGATCCTGCCGTCGGAAAATGTTTTTGTCTCCTTCCCTGCCGACTATAAATAGTCACTAGACTCGTAACTCTGTATCTGTGCCATGTCCCAAGTTAGGAAGTATAGAGTCACTTTGGTACAGCTGGTACCATTTTAAGCAGATGAAGAAGTACCGATCCCAGCAGGAGCTGGACGTGGGCCCTCGCATTCAAAGTACTCATCTCAGGGTGTGTCCTGCATATCGGCACAATGATTAACGCAGAAGGAACCACGTCCTCCGTGCCTTCTGCAGTTTTACCACTTCATGCAAGATTTAGAATTTCTCTTGAGCCTTATATACAGGTCATACCTACTCCCCAAGCCTCCAACTTAGGTTGGTCTTTATTGACTTAGAATTTGGTGGCAAAAACTAAAAACTCCAAATGAAGACCCCTAACATTAAAACAATTCACAAGCAGCCAGCTCTGGGATATCCTGGGACCCGATCTGTGACTCCTGGAATACTACGGTGTGCTCTTAACCTTGCGTGAGAGTCCTTCCAAGGAAGCACAGCTGCTTACAGAAGAATGAGCTGGCTGGAGGGGAGGTGTAACGGACAACGTACTCTTTTTCCATACTTTATTTTGTTCTACAAATACAGTACAAAAATAGAGTTTTTTTCTGAACATAATTAAATGTAAGCCATTTTCTTGCATTTCAATCTTTCCTCTGTGACCATGTCCACCAATGACTAGACTGTACTCCCCTCTATTTTTAGAGACAGTGTCAGTGTAATTTAATTATAAAAATACTGCAAAAGACAGATCAGCATTTCTATTACACAACTGCAGGAAAAGCTTGTGTAGATTTAACATTCCTCTCTTAACAGTTTTTAAATGCTTAGGTACTGGATAACATTTACAAGAGCTCTCTGGTTTCAGTGAATTTTGTTTCTGACAATGATACTCAGCCAGTTTTCCATGTTTTGCTCCAGAACATATCCACATGGTCTTGATAAAACAAAACTGGAACAAATATGTATATATTCAAATTACTTAAGATGACATATTTAACCTTAAGCTTGAAATGAGGACAGGGCTTCTCCCTTCTAATGCACAAGATGTCTGAAAGGAAAGGAAGATTGTAGGCTGAAAAGCCAAAATTGAGCTTTCACAAAAGGCAGGTATTCTTTAGAAAGTAAATTTTCAGATTCCTCCCAATCTTGATTGCGTATTTTTTTACACCTTAGAGGAAGTATTTCCCCTTCTGTGACGATGAGATAGTAAGACCAGAACTCTACCTCACCACTGATTCGGATAAGGTATGAATCGAAGAGGGCGTTCGTAGTCCATCGGCCAGCTCACCATAGGCTGTTAAATAGCAGCTGCAGCTTTAGTTCTAGCAAGCAGGAAAAAATGGAAAGGAGAGAAATGGGAAAAGATAGTGCTAATGAAAGGAATGCCTTCGAAAACAGAATTATTAGTGCCGAGTGATACAAAAGAGAGCAAAAAACCTCAACAGCACAAAGTGATCTTCTCAGAAGGTACAACTGCACATCTGCTTCTCGTAAGTCCAAGGATAAAAGGATGAACCTAATTACCTGTGATAGCAAAAGAAACTCTTGATACTGAATTAGGTTGGTACTTGATAGCTCGGAAACACAAGTGCAGAGGAAGACTAAGCCCTTAACTCGCAAAGGATACTTTTGTTGTGACTATTGTTCTTGCATCTGGAAACAGCAAAGAAACGCTTGTTCTGATCACAGTTTCTCAAAAGGGAACAACTGTGCTGCTTCTCCTCTCTTTTCTCGCTTGCTCTTTCTGGTTGTCTTCTCTTCTTTTTTTTTCTCTAACTGGCGATTTTGGGGCCAAGAAATGGGCTCACTCCCTACTGCAGTCTCTGAACTCGGACCTCCTTCTTCACCAGAAGAGAATCCCACTCCTTTCTCTGTCTCAGGTGCTGACGGCTCAGTCTGGAAAAAAACAGGCGTGAAAATCGAAAAGTTGCTCCAGAAATCACTCATAACTACCCCTTTCTAAAAGGGCTTGTCTTCCGTCACAGTGTCACTTAATGACAATACAAAAGCTGGCTGCTCTGGTTTGGGCTTCTCACCCAACGCAGTATGTTTCTATTTCTGGATGTCAAGCATTCTTTCAACACAAAGCAAAATATTTTTGGCTGTGGGAGGATAAAAATAAACCTGCTTTAAAAAGATCATGCTTTTCATCTTTCTCAATGGGGCAAAGATCAAGAACTAAAACATCTGACTTCATAACAAAAAGCAGCCCCCTCTCATCCTGTTACCTACTTGCTTGCCTTGGAGCAATAAATCTAGGAAGAGGGTATGTCAAAACAGAAAATAATATTTAAAAAATGATGCTTTGGGAAACACTAATCTGTTGTTAAACAATAATGAATCTTTCATGGACATGACCACATCGAATTTCTGGTGTAGTTTTTTTTACTAGTTGCTAGTCACAGGCTAATAACAGGAAAGGAAAAGATTTTTGAGCAACTACACTCTGGAAGTTCTACACTCTACAGCTGGAAACATAACACATTGGAAAGACTCGAAAAAGATCTCTTGGTAGAGAAATATCACCCTGAAAGAGAAATCACTAATAGAAATGCGGAATACCTTGACGGAGTAGCGTTGTTTCAGT